GTGGTCTCTGGTCTCTGGTCTGTGGTCTCTGGTCTCTGGTCTGTGGTCTCTGGTCTGTGGTCTCTGGTCTCTGGTCTCTGGTCTGTGGTCTCTGGTCTCTGGTCTCTGGTCTCTGGTCTGTGGTCTCTGGTCTGTGGTCTCTGGTCTCTGGTCTCTGGTCTGTGGTCTCTGGTCTCTGGTCTGTGGTCTCTGGTCTCTGGTCTGTGGTCTCTGGTCTGTGGTCTCTGGTCTGTGGTCTCTGGTCTCTGGTCTCTGGTCTGTGGTCTCTGGTCTGTGGTCTCTGGTCTCTGGTCTCTGGTCTCTGGTCTCTGGTCTCTGGTCTGTGGTCTCTGGTCTGTGGTCTCTGGTCTCTGGTCTGTGGTCTCTGGTCTCTGGTCTGTGGTCTCTGGTCTGTGGTCTCTGGTCTCTGGTCTGTGGTCTCTGGTCTCTGGTCTCTGGTCTGTGGTCTCTGGTCTGTGGTCTCTGGTCTCTGGTCTGTGGTCTCTGGTCTGTGGTCTCTGGTCTCTGTGGTCTCTGGTCTCTGGTCTGTGGTCTCTGGTCTGTGGTCTCTGGTCTCTGGTCTCTGGTCTCTGGTCTCTGGTCTGTGGTCTCTGGTCTGTGGTCTCTGGTCTCTGGTCTGTGGTCTCTGGTCTGTGGTCTCTGGTCTCTGGTCTCTGGTCTGTGGTCTCTGGTCTCTGGTCTGTGGTCTCTGGTCTCTGGTCTGTGGTCTCTGGTCTCTGGTCTCGTGCTCTCCCTTTCAGCTCTTTACGAAATTGCAGCTCATTAAACTTTAACGCTGACAGCAGATATTGTTATCGGTGGGCTCCAAACGCAGAGCGGCCCCGGGTCTCCGCTAACTTAGGCGCATGTAGTGTTGGAAAATGCTGTTAATTTTACAGGCTGTGTTCGGAGCTTCAGGCCCCCTACCCCAGTCTAGCCCCAGTCCCTACCCCAGTCCAGCCCTAGTCCCTACCCAAGTCTCTGCCGCAGCCCGTCCCTACCCCAGTTCCGGCCAAAGTTCCTAGTCCCAGTCCCTACCCAAGTCCCTGCCGCAGCCAGTCCCTACCCCAGTCCCGGCCCCATTTCCGGCCCTAGTCCCTACCCCAGTCCCGGCCAAAGTCCCTACCCCAGTCTCTGCCCCAGTCCCGGGCCCACTCAAGTCCCGGTCCTAGTCCCTACACCTGTCCCTACCCCAATCCCAGCCTCAGTCCCTACCCTAGTCCCTACCCCAGTCCCTACCCTAGTCCCTACCCCTGAAGTCCCTACCCCAGTCCCAGCCTCAGTCCCTACCCTAGTCCCTACCCCAGTCCCTACCAAAGTCCCTACCCCTGAAGTCCCTACCCCAGTCCCTACCCCAGTCCCGGCCCCTCTGTGACCCGGACTAGCTTTAGTCAGTCCCTCTTTAAACGCCCACCTCCTGGATCTTCATAAACTGCTATCGCTGTTTTAGAAGCGGTGGTGTTTTTAAAATGGCAGCAGTTTTTCCAAAGCTAACGCAGCTTTCTAATCAAATCCCGTTTATGGACTTGGCGGCGTGATGTTTCCACAAGCCGACTGAAAACACAGGCTAATCTCACATAGATATAATAATTACACATTGTCAGCAGTAGACCAATTATAGACATGGTGAGTTTTGTCTGCCCAGAGCCCCACAATTACCTGCGTCTCCCACCGCCGTAATCTACAAATAAACATGTTCCTAAAAACACCGGTGCATTTTCCAGCTTGACAAGTTAAAGTGTGAAATGGCTCTATTTTTTTAAAGCCATAACTCTGCGTTTACTAAACAGTCCCGCGTTCCTTTGAAGTCCATTCGCAAAAACGGAAAGAAAAATTAGCTTTTCAAATCCGTCTTTCTGTCTTTTTGGAGACGGATTTAAGCGAAATGTGTTGATGTGAATTTCAATCATTTATTATTTTATTATTTATGTATTTATTCATTTCATTCAGACAAACTAAGAGTCCAAATTACAGAAAAACAGACAAACTAAGAGTCCAAATTACAGAAAAACAGACAAAAAAACCCCCCAAAACACAGAATATAATATTTTTTTGATATGTCATTAAATACCATTGTATATGTTTTCATGAAGAGCGTGAAAATTATAATATTCACTCTAAGAATCTTAATAATAATCGACAATCTTGAGGTATCTTGTGGTTGATATTTAGCCAACAGCTCAAAAACATGTCAGATATCTGTAGCTAAGCAGGGCAGGGCCTGGTTAGTGCTGTGATGGGAGATTTTTAGGATCAGCAGGCAAGACGCTTAAGAGGGAATGATTGTTTTGATGGTTGGAGAGAATAGGTGCCTCGCTTCTGTCCCAGGGCAGCTGTGGCTACTGCACTGTGAACGTGTGAATTATCAGTGAAAGAATAACTCCATGTGAAGAGACTTTGGGTGTTCAGAAAAGCCCTAGTTGTGTACGTTTTTAGAGAAGTTACTATAATTTTCTTGAGAGACTGCAGCACAAACAAATCCAAAAGAATAGTCAGGCTGTAACTTTGACGTGATTAAATACAAAAGAAAAGCAGTACATTGTTGCACCTAAAGCCTGGTTCACACCGCAGGATAATTAGGCCGATTTAAGACCCCCATTTACCCCAAACGACAATCTTAAGAACGCTTTCCTGCCGTGTGTGGTGTGTTTAGACTACGTGCCTCAGAAGGACTTTGGGACTGCTCCGATCTCATGTTGGATTGTTTTGGCCTGATTTCTCTTGGTGTGTGGTGTCCTCCGGAGTCAGACGAGCACGCTGCCAGTGACTGCGGCGTGTAGCCAATCAGAAGACAAGGTGACGAAGAAAATATGAACAAAAATCATAACAGTCAGTGGCATGGTGCATAAATATATCTAGTCCGAGCTCGCGTTGTCTCCACTTCTTTGGCCGTCGCCTTTTTTTTGATAACACTTTTTCTCTGTTAAAAACAAACTATCGCCGCTGCGTCCTCTTCGTCCGCCATGATTGTTTACTCTGAAGTCACACTTGATGTCCAGAGATTTTGTGAGATTTCCGTCTGACCTGGGAATGCTCGGCGGTGAAATCGGTTTGTGTATCGTCGGACAACTTTAAAATTGTCTCGTGTGAACCAGGCTTAAGCAAAAACATGTACTTTTTTATTTTAGGATAAGAACTGTTATTTCTGGCCACGAACAAAACAGATGTCATTGAGTATTAACCAGAATAGTGACTTGTTAGCGCTGCTGGTGTCCACATGGTGCTCACTCATCAAGAACCATGAACAAACTGCTGTTCTTAAACTATTCACCCAAACTCTACCTTTTAAAAAGCCTGAATGAAATCCTTAAATCTTCTTTTTCTCCACAGTCAAGTTTCCTGGGACCAAGACCTACATCGACCCTGAGACCTACGAGGACCCGAACCGAGCCGTGCACCAGTTCGCCAAAGAGCTGGACGCATCCTGCATCAAGATCGAGCGAGTGATCGGAGCGGGTGAGCGAGACCTCACAAAACACCTGTATCTGCACCTGTATCTGCACCTGTATTTACACCTGTATCTGCAGCTGTATCTACACCTGTATCTACACATGTATCTTCACCTGTATTTACACCTGTATCTGCAGCTGTATCTACACCTGTATTTACACCTGTATCTGCACCTGTATCTACACCTGTATTTACACCTGTATCTGCAGCTGTATCTACACCTCTATCTTCACTTGTATTTACACCTGTATCTACACCTGTATTTACACCTGTATCTGCAGCTGTATCTACACCTGTATCTGCACCTGTATTTACACCTGTATCTGCAGATGTATCTACACCTCTATCTTCACCTGTATTTACACCTGTATCTGCACCTGTATCTACACCTGTATCTACACCTGTATTTACACCTGTATTTACACATGTATCTACACTTGTACCTACACCTGCATTTACATCTGTATCTATACTTGTACCTAAACCTATATTTACACCTGTATCTACACTTGTATCTACACTTGTATCTACACTTGTGTTTACATCTGTATCTACACTTGTATCTACACCTGGATTTACACCTGGATCTACACCTGTATCTATACCTTTATTTACACCTGTATCTACACCTGTATTTACACCTGTATCTACACCTGTATTTACACATGTATCTACACTTGTACCTAAACCTGTATTTACACCTGTATTTACATCTATATCTATACTTGTACCTAAACCTGTATTTACACCTGTATTTACATCTGTATCTATACTTGTACCGACACCTGTATTTACATCTGTATCTACACTTGTACCTACACCTGTATTTACATCTGTATCTACACTTGTACCTACACCTGTATTTACATTTGTATCTATACTTGTACCTACACCTGTATTTACATCTGTATCTACACTTGTATCTACACCTGGATCTACACCTGGATTTACACCTGTATCTATACCTTTATTTACACCTGTATCTGCACCTGTATATAAAACAAAACATATTTATTTTAGTTTATTTATTTATCTGAGCAACATAAAACAATAATAAAAAATATATATATATTTTAAAGACTTGCCGCTCCAAAGGCGTAGATAGAAGTTAGGCTTTCTATGGATTTGACATTCCAGAAAATGACAAAAATGCAGAAGTTTGACAAATATACAAATACAAATATTCAGACAGTGAATGCCCATATAAGGAAATTGGCTCCAGCTATCTCCGCCAGCCCTCTCCTAGTGTACAGTACATGATGGGGTCACAGCTCTGTTTGGAGGAGAGATATCGACACCGCTATCACAAAAAAACAAATAGAAGCCAAAAAAATCATTGCAAAGAATGTGTGGTCGTGTGGAGGCTGTGGCGGTGGCGGTGAAAAATGGCTGCCACATGGTTTTTCCAAAGGCGGTCAATGACGGTATCTATGCATCTGCAGCGCGGCTTATTATAGGTCCTGCTTCTGCTCCCGCGGGGATTACAGGATGTCGCGCTCCAATTTGTATTCCAGCTGCTTTGTCTCTGGGATGAAATTTGTCATTGTGAGGGAGCGCTCCATTCTTCACAGGGGAGTTCGGGGAGGTGTGCAGCGGGCGTCTCAAGCTGCCCGGCAAGAGGGACGTGTCGGTGGCCATCAAGACCCTCAAAGTGGGCTACACCGAGAAGCAGAGGCGGGACTTCCTGTGCGAGGCCAGCATCATGGGCCAGTTCGATCATCCCAACGTGGTGCACCTGGAGGGCGTGGTGACCAGAGGTAAACGAGACACACAAAGCAAGAAAAGAATCAGTAAAAGACCTGGGTGGCTGAGTGGTTAGCAGGTCCTGGGTTCGAATCCCAGTCAGAACAGGGCCTTTCGGAGTGGAGTTTGCAGGTTCTCACTAAACACGTGCCACTATAAACACGTACAATTGGTAAATCCTCCAGCTCTGGTCCAGACCGAGCCGAGTACCAACACCTGAAGATGGGTCCCGGGTGCTGTTGCTACGGCGACCACTGCTCCTAGCATATGTATGGGGTAAGGTTACTGTCAATAAAAACGTGCATGTCTAAAAAAAAATGCATGCATAATTATTGTATTTGTGCATAAAAATATATTGTTAATTCATGATTAAGATAATACAAACTCAAAACACATTCATTTACGACCAACATGATAACAAAGGAGCTGGCTTCTGTATTTGAGACCTTTGGTTTCATTCAGCACGTGAGTGGCCCCACCCACAGCAGGGGGCACACTCTTGACCTGCTAATTACAAAGGGGGTTAATGTATCAAATGTTAATGTAGTTGATGTTGCTTTGTCAGATCATTTCTGTGTATTTTTTGACATGTGTTTTGCTAGCAAACCACCAGCTGAATTTACAACTGTTAGAAGAAGACACATACATGAAAACACAAGTGAACTGTTCATGGGAATGCTAAATTTTGAGAAAACTCCATGCTCTACTGTTGATGAATTGTATAACTCTGTCACCACCAGTGTTCTGACTGTTCTGGACGCCATTGCTCCTGTGACGGTTAAAATAGTTACCAGTAAGAAAAAGGCCCCATGGACTAAGGCAGACTCGGTTAGGGCACAGAAGCAAGAGTGCCGGAGGGCCGAACGGAAGTGGCGAAAGTCCAATTTCCAGGGCGATTATGAAATCTTTAAAGATGAGTTGGGTGAATTTAACCGGGTTCTACGAAACAAGAGAAATGTATTTTTCTGACATTATTGGAGGTTGCAGTAACAATTTTCGTGTTATGTTTTCAACAGTTGGTAGATTAACGAACCCCCCTGTAAAGTTGCCCCTAGAATTTTCCTCTAAATCTAGGTGTAATGAGTTCGCACAGTTTTTCGATGACAAAGTACAAGGAATCAAAAACACTATCACCTCCACAGCACGTATAACAATGCAACAGCCAGAGAAGCTTTCTGAGCTAACTCACTTTGCACCTGTGGATACTGAAACTGTCAAAAAGATAATCATGAGTCTGAGCTCCTCCACATGTAGCCTGGATATATTGCCCTCTAAATTTCTGAAGTCCGTCCTGAGCAGTTTGTTACCTTCACTGACACAAATAGTAAACATGTCTCTGTCGTCAGGAACATTTCCTATGGCCCTAAAAACAGCAGTCATAAGACCTCTCCTAAAAAAGAGCAGTCTGGATCCTGCGGGACTTCAAAATTATCGCCCCATATCGAATCTGCCATTTATTGGAAAAATTCTTGAAAAAGTGGCCTCCCAACAACTTACTGAATTTTTAACAATGAATAATTCTTTTGATATGTTCCAGTCTGGGTTTAGACCCCACCACAGCACTGAGACCGCTCTAGTGAAGGTAACAAACGACATTCGACTTCACACTGATGCAGGTAAAGTCACAGTTTTGGTCATGTTAGATCTTAGTGCCGCGTTCGACACTGTCGACCATGAGATCCTCATGCAGAGACTGGAGGACTGGGCTGGTGTCACTGGCACAGCCCTAGACTGGTTTAGGTCTTACCTGGAGGATAGGAAGTACTCTGTGGAGATTGGAGACTGCGTCTCAGATGATGTGGCCCTGACCTGTGGTGTACCACAGGGGTCGATCCTGGGACCTCTCCTATTTAATCTCTACATGCTGCCGTTAGGTCAGTTAATACAAAGAAACAAAGTGTCCTACCACAATTACGCTGACGACACTCAGATCTATGTCTCACTGACTGCAGGAGAACATGGACCACTGGATTTGCTCCTTCACTGTATCCAACAGATCAGTGACTGGATGCAAAATAATTTCCTCCAGCTAAATACAGACAAAACCGAAATCATTGTCTTTGGTCCCCAGAAACAAAGAGAGGGCGTCATTTGTCAACTTCAGTCTCTCTCCCTACTTCCTTCAGACAAGGTCAGAAATTTGGGGGTAATACTGGACTCAGACCTAAATTTCAATAGCCACATAAAATCAATAACATCAACAGCTTTTTACCATCTGAAGAACATTGCCAAAGTTAGAAATATAGTGTCCAGGGCAGACTTGGAGATTCTTGTCCATGCATTTGTCTCCAGCAGGCTAGACTACTGCAATGGCCTGCTTACAGGTCTGTCCAAACAGACCTGTAAGCAGCTGCAGTACATCCAAAATGCAGCAGCTAGAGTCCTGACAGGAACCAGGAAGTATGACCATATTAGTCCGGTCCTCAGGTCTCTGCACTGGCTTCCTGTGGCTCAAAGAATAGATTTTAAAACGGCTCTGCTTGTGTACAAGTCTCTCCATGGCCTTGCACCAGAATACATTAGTGACATGTTGGTGTCATATGAACCGGCCCGGACTCTGAGGAGCACAGGGACTGGCCTCCTGCTGGTGCCCAGAGTGAGAACCAAACATGGGGAGGCTGCGTTTCAGATCCATGCAGCTAAGATCTGGAACAATCTCCCTGAAAATGTGAGGGAGGCGTCTACTCTGTCAATGTTCAAATCCAGGTTAAAGACTGTTCTGTTTGCCTGTGCATACAACTGAAGGATTTTATCTCCATTTTTAATGCACTGCTGTCATTTATTTATTTTTTTAAATTTCTTGTGTAATTTTGAAAGTTTTAATGGTTTTATTCTTTTGTGTGATTTTAATGTTTTAATTGTGTTTTAATCTTTTGTGTGATTTTAATGTTTTAATTGTGATTCTGGTGTTTGTTTTATGTGATGATTTGTGATGTGGACTGTGAAGCGCTTTGTGTTGCCATGTGTATGAAAGGCGCTCTACAAATAAACTTTGATTGATTGATTGATTGATAAAATATAGTTATATCCTGATTTTGAGGCACGTTGTTAATGTTGTTGCCTCTGCCATGTTTAGTTTTGAGGCAATGAAGTGGATCAACTCTGCGCTCGATTGTTAATGTCTGTGAGCAGTGACTATGATTGACAGTTTGCTGAATTTCGTTTTCTCAAAGAAGAAATTACGAGCTCATAAAAAAAAAAAAATCATAATCACAAAATCACACAAACAGTTTTACAGTTTTTTATTCTTGATTACACAATTCCATGTCTTTGAGTTTTTATCTTTGATTTTGTCTTAATCATGAATTAATAACAGTAACCTTACCCCTTACATACGCCCCACTGGCATCTGGGTCAAATGCAGAGGACTTACCTTTAGTTAGATAGTATTCATCGTATTCATAGTCATGTGTGTAAATCTGCAAAGGCCGTTGTTTGGCTTCTAAATTTAAGTTCTTTCAAATATGGTTTTAGAGACTCTGTAAACAAGTAGAGCTTCTGTTCACTCATCACAGACGCCAATCATTTTAGAATTATTGCTATATTTTTTCATTTGATAGGGACTGTGCATATTCTTCAACATCTGTGGGTGCGGTGAACATGAGCAAACATTAAAGACTCACAGCTACATGTTCATATCTGTTTCATAGTTTCATAATACTCTCTCTGCTCAGTCTGGGCTGTGGGTGGAGGAGAACAAAACACCTTTAAAACAGAATTGTACTGTAATATCCAGTGCAGCTGTGGCGGTTTGCAGTCGTAAATAATTCATTAGTGCAGTTGATGAAGTCGTTTGCCCCGAGACGCTGTGACTTCCTCCCAAATGTAATATCATAATGTTTGTTTTCAGTCATGTAAATGTTTCTCGACTCTCGACCGTCCAAACCCTCCAAAGAGCTGCAGCAGAAATGTCTAACTTTAGCGGACGAAAGAAACAGGTTTTGTGGGTAAGAAGGAGGCCATTGTGTGTTAGCTTGGTGACTATAAATATGTGTTATGCCTCAAACATCAAACTCATTTCAGCCACACTGCAAAACATAATGAAAATTACGTCCAAAAATTATCAAATTTCGCAACAATGTATCTAAATTTGAGCACATTCTGAGCCTTAACCTCTTAAAGACCTTATGCCGGGTTTGATTTATTTATAAATACAGTTTTAATACCATTTTATATTAGAAGAGAACTACTAAAGGTTTCAAAATCAGTTGTTGTTTTTTTTGTCTGATCCCCCCAAATCGAAATAACCCCATAGCAACGCCCTTAGAGACAAAAAAACTTCACAGCCCTTGGTGACGTCAGAACGGGTACGTTTCAACGCTGTAAGTTGTTTACAATTTGGTATTTGTTCTTTTTTCGCGGATATTCAAGATGACAAGGCCGTGTACAGCAAGTGTGAGATAACTACTAGATTATAAAATTTCGTCGGCACTGAGATAGTCCAGTGGTTAATAATAATAATAATAATAAATTTTAAAACAGGGAACATCCCCAAGATACACAACATAAAAACAATACATCAAATATAACATCAGGAAAAAATAAAAACATAATTACTGTACATATCTAGAAGGCCTGTTTGAATAGAAATGTCTTTAGGCCTTTCTTAAAAGCCTCCACACTTTGTGGGGCCCTGAGGGTTTCTGGGAGGGCATTCCAGAGCCGGGGGGCTACTGCCTGAAAGGCCCTATCTCCCATGGTGGAGAGTTTGGTCCTGGGTTGGTGCAGGCAGTGGGAGGAGGTGGTTGAACGGAGACTTCGAGAGGCGGTGTGTGGTGTTAGGAGTTCACTGAGGTAGGCAGGGGCAGTTCCGTGTGTGCATTGATATGTGAGGAGGCAGAGTTTGTACTGTATTCTGTGTTTGATGGGCAGCCAGTGGAGTGATTTGAGGACGGGTGAGATGTGGTCATATTTGCGTCTCCTCGTCAGGACCCGGGCAGCACAGTTCTGGATATACTGGAGTTTTTGCAGACCCTTTGCGGAGGTCCCGACGAGGAGGGCATTGCAGTAATCCAACCTGGAGGAGACAAAGGCATGGATCAGCTTCTCAGCGTCCGGTTGTGAGAGGGAGGAGCGGAGTCTGGCAATGTTTTTGAGGTGAAGGAAGGAGACTTTACAGAGGTGGCGGATGTGGGTATCAAATGTAAAATTAGAGTCGAGCCTGACTCCAAGGTTAATAACAGATGTGGACAGGGGGATGTTATGGCCAAAAATTGAAACACTGCTGAGAGAGGAGGACTGGGTTTGGTGGGGGGTGCCAAAGAGGATTGCATCAGTTTTACCACTGTTAAGTTGAAGAGAATTGTTGTCCATCCATGCCTTTATCTCCTCCAGACAAAGCTGAAGGGCTGACGTAAAACCTGTGGGTGAAGTGGAGTCTATTTTCAGGTATAACTGTGTATCATCGGCGTAGCAGTGGAAAGAAATGTTGTGTCTGTTGATGATTTGACCAAGGGGGAGCATGTATATTGTAAAAAGGGTTGGCCCGAGGACTGAGCCTTGCGGTACCCCACAGGTAACTGAATGGGGTGACGATTTGTACTGGCCTAGGGACACATATTCTGTTCTGTCAGTGAGATATGAATGAAATCATTTGAGTGTTGTCTGTGAAAGTCCAATTACTGATTGTAGTCTATGGAGGAGAATGGTGTGGTCCACGGTATCAAAAGCTGCTGACAGATCGAGGAGGAGGAGGAGAGAGGGTGAGCCCCGGTCCGCAGTCATGAGTAGGTCATTCATGACGCGGTTGTGTCGATGCACTGCCAATCCAGATACTGGGGTTCAAATCCCACCTCAGACACTTTTTCACTCTCAAAACGGCAATTTATGTGTAGTGAGCAATTGTCACCTGTAGAGGGCAGTATTGTGTTGGGCATCAGTGGAGAGAAGAGAGAAAAGGCAGTCCTGTGGCATAGATCCATGGTTTTCAATGCATGGGCGTTACCCGCTGTGACGTCACACACAGGTTAGAGCATAGACAACTTAAATTCATGAAAAACACGTTCTTTTTATAAAATATAGGATTTTTTTTGCCGGATTCTATTTCAGATTGACATTGTCATGCAATTTTGATATCCTCAATTTTTTTTTTTTAAACCCGTCATAAGGTCTTTAAACTCCTACATCATATTTGCTCGTGCACAAAAGTTTGGCACACCTTAAAGTCTGCTTATTTAAAAACACATCTTACATGTCACTTGCTTGAGTGATGCATCATTTTAAAGCTAGGCCCTTCTAGTTTATGTAAATATAAACTTAAATAATGTATGTCATTCCTATTTCACTCTGCATCCTTTGAAGTTTGAGAAAAAAACGTGTTTTTTTAGCCTTGCCTAAAAAATTCCATGTATAAATGCCCTAAAAAAGCCTACTTCATTGGAAGAAGAAAAATTTAGCAGAATTCTCCAAAGGGACAAAGCAAAATGATGATAAAAATGTCTTCCTTGGAATGACAAAATAAATCAACAGTTCCTGAAATTAGTCTCACAAATGGAGAAAGGAACATGTCACTTAATAAAAATTAAAACCACTCAAAATCCCTCAAAAGTGGTGTAAAAAAGTCTGAGTTTGGTGAAAGAGAAAAGAGGGTTTTGTGGGTAAAAGATGCCATTATGTGTTATTAGATTATCCAAAGTGCCGGTTTCACTCTGTCTCATTTAGACAGTGTAATGAAAGAGCAGATGGTAAGTTTTAATTAAAAGCCAATGAAACAGAAGCTAAAAATACCTGTGAAGCAGGATCAGCGTTTATGGAGGCGCATTGTAAGCAAACACCGTTTAGGAATCAATTAATCACAGAGTGTCCTGTCGCAGGAAAACCAGTGATGATCGTCATCGAGTACATGGAGAACGGGTCCTTAGACGCCTTCCTGCGGGTGAGCTCCCACTCTTTACTTCTACGTACTTTTGTATAGGTCTAAAACACAACAGTAGTAATCTGTAGATAATTATGTAGATAAAGTCCATATGTGTAGATAAAGTCCATATGTGAAGATAAAGTCCATATGTGTAGATAAAGTCCATATGTGTAGATAAAGTCCATATGTGTAGATAAAGTCCATATGTGTAGATAAAGTCCATATGTGTAGATAAGGTCCATATGTGTAGATAAAGTCCATATGTGAAGATAAAGTCCATATGTGTAGATAAGGTCCATATGTGTATATAAAGTCCATATGTGTAGATAAAGTCCATATGTGTAGATAAAGTCCATATGTGTAGATAAGGTCCATATGTGAAGATAAAGTCCATATGTGTAGATAAAGTCCATATGTGTAGATAAAGTCCATATGTGAAGATAAAGTCCATATGTGAAGATAAAGTCCATATGTGTAGATAAAGTCCATATGTGTAGATAAAGTCCATATGTGTAGATAAAGTCCATATGTGAAGATAAAGTCCATATGTGAAGATAAAGTCCATATGTGAAGATAAAGTCCATATGTGAAGATAAAGTCCATATGTGTAGATAAAGTCCATATGTGTAGATAAAGTCCATATGTGTAGATAAAGTCCATATGTGAAGATAAAGTCCATATGTGTAGATAAGGTCCATATGTGAAGATAAAGTCCATATGTGTAGATAAGGTCCATATGTGTAGATAAAGTCCATATGTGTAGATAAGGTCCATATGTGTATATAAAGTCCATATGTGTAGATAAAGTCCATATGTGTAGATAAAGTCCATATGTGAAGATAAAGTCCATATGTGAAGATAAAGTCCATATGTGAAGATAAAGTCCATATGTGTAGATAAAGTCCATATGTGTAGATAAAGTCCATATGTGTAGATAAAGTCCATATGTGAAGATAAAGTCCATATGTGTAGATAAGGTCCATATGTGAAGATAAAGTCCATATGTGTAGATAAGGTCCATATGTGTAGATAAAGTCCATATGTGTAGATAAAGTCCATATGTGAAGATAAAGTCCGGTCAGTGTGTGTCCACATGGTCCTGGTCTTATGTGTGTGTGTCCACATGGTCCTGGTCTTATGTGTGTTTCCACATGGTCTCGGTCAGCGTGTGTCCACATGGTCCCAGTCTTATGTGTGTGTCCACATGGTCCCGGTCTTATGTGTGTTTCCACATGGTCTCGGTCAGTGTGTGCCCACATGGTCCCAGTCTTATGTGTGTGTCCACATGGTCCCAGTCTTATGTGTGTGTCCTCATGGTCCTGGTCTTATGTCACGGTCTTATGTGTGTTTCCACATGGTCTCGGTCAGTGTTTGCCCACATGGTCCCAGTCTTATGTGTGTGTCCACATGGTCCTGGTCTCATGTGAGCCTCTCTCTGCAGAAGCATGATGGTCAGTTCACGGTCATCCAGCTGGTGGGGATGCTGCGGGGCGTGGCAGCCGGGATGAGGTTTCTCTCTGAAATGGGATATGTCCATCGAGATCTGGCAGCGCGCAACATCCTCGTCAACAGTAATCTCGTTTGTAAAGTGTCGGACTTCGGTCTGTCCCGCGTCACGGACGACGACCCCGAGGCTGTCTACTCTACCACTGTGAGTCCATTAAAGCTCTGCCTCAGACCCAGAGTCTGCGTTCTCCCTGAATTAGACTTTTATATGAGAGAGCCATCCATCACACAGTGTTTACAGTCGCCGTGGAAACAGGATACTCCACACACCGTTAGCCTAACGTTAGCCTAACATTAGCCTAACGTTAGCCTCGCACATGGTCTGCCCAGAACTGCTTGTGCGCCTGGTGCTAAATGTGTCATGTCTCACATGTCAAGATCATTTCAGACCACACTGCAAAAAGTGAGGAAGAATAAGTCTTGTTAAATAAAACAAGAGTTACCAACGGGAAAAACAAAGTGCTCTTGTTTTGAGATATCTCCTACATACAGTAGCTACAGTTCTTTAAATCAAACTAAATGCCTTTGTCCATCAGAGAATCTTGTTCTGTCAGAATGTGCTCAAACCCAAATCAAAGCACATTTACAGTGTACTGCTCTGTCCACATGAACCTTTGAGCTGCTGTGACAATGTAAGACTTTTATGAATATGTTCTAAATCTGTGTTTTTTCTGCTGTTTTAGGGGAAGAAGCAGGATGTGTTGAATTTGCTGTTTGCTCCAGCCACTGACCTGCATTCTGCTGAACAGGGAGGCAAGATCCCGGTGCGATGGACCGCACCAGAGGCCATTCAGTACCGGAAGTTTACCTCGGCCAGTGACGTGTGGAGCTACGGCATCGCCATGTGGGAGGTCATGTCCTACGGGGAGCGGCCCTACTGGGACATGTCCAACCAGGACGTAAGTCTCACCCCCAGTCCGGGTTTTAGCGCTCTGCTGTTCCTTTGATCTATTGCAACTGTAAACGGCTTGAAATTGGTTAATTTAGTTTGGTTGATGGTTGTGTTTAGATTATGATTAAGATTAAAAGCGGGGAAATGTCAGTGTTGCATCACCAGTTAAAGAACAGCAGGAATGAGGAGCACACAGCACATGATAAATATTAAAATAGATTCAATTATGAAGCTAGTATAAAATCTCTAGCTTTAGCATAATAAAGAAGCTAGTTTAAAATCTCTAACTTTAGCATAATAAAGAAGCTAGTTTAAAATCTCTAACTTTAGCATAATAAAGAAGCTAGTTTAAAATCTCTAGCTTTAGCATAATAAAGAAGCTAGTATAAAATCTCTAACTTTAGCATAATAAAGAAGCTAGTATAAATCTCTAGCTTTAGCATAATAAAGAAGCTAGTATAAAATCTCTAGCTTTAGCATAATAAAGAAGCTAGTATAAAATCTCTAGCTTTAGCATAATAAAGAAGCTAGTATAAAATCTCTAGCTTTAGCATAATAAAGAAGCTAGTATAAAATCTCTAGCTTTAGCATAATAAAGAAGCTAGTATAAAATCTCTAACTTTAGCATAATAAAGAAGCTAGTATAAAATCTCTAGCTTTAGCATAATAAAGAAGCTAGTATAAAATCTCTAGCTTTAGCATAATAAAGAAGCTAGTAACAAAATAATAACACAGCTACCTTACATTTGTCTGGTGTAGAAATTAGGGCTGTTAAAATTATCGCGTTAACGCACGTTAATTAATTTTTTTCATTAATCGCGTTAAAAAAATTAACGCATTTGACGCATGCCCATGCGTGCCAAAATAACTCAGAATGCCGCGGACACATGCGTGTGTAAGACGGGGACAGAGCAGAGCCCTCTGGGAGTGACCGCGGGGCACTTGTAGTTTCCTGTATGAACTCTGCATGATGAGCTGCGGGCGCCACAGCGCTCTGGACCGGTCCCACCTCCAGCGGCTGTGATGACGGCGAACGGCGCTGCGTAACGGGATCATATCCAAGACCACGCACAGAACTATTACAGAACTATTCTCTAGTGTGCACAATATGTACAGCGCTGAAGCTGGACTGCGGAGCCTCAGTCTCCTCCGTGTCTTCTCCCGAAGCGCACTCGCTAAATTAAAGCTGAGGTACCTAATTTTTCTTTCGACCATCAGTTCATGTTAGTTGTGCCAAAAAAAGTAATGTTGTGAGCAAATCAAACAGATTTAATGACATTCTGCTTCAGACTGTTTTGAAATGTCCCTCATCTGTAACAAACAATGGTTTTGGTCTGAGTCTAAACAGAAAGACAGAATGTTAATAATGTTAATGCCATTTTATTTGGATATGGAACAAACAAATACAGTTCATATGTTCACTAAGCTGTCATTTATCTTTCCATTCAAACAACAATTTACAGAAAAATATGACATAATTTTGCCAATATTTTGAAATGTGATTAATTACGATTAATTAATTTTGAAGCTGTAATTAACTCGATTAAAAAAATGAATCGTTTGACAGCCCTAGTAGAAATACATAATAACTTATATATTCATACTTTGCAGTATTCTGGGTAAAGCCTCTTCGTACAGAGTTGCAGAAAACTAAAAAGCCAATTAAAACTCGGACTGTTATTTATGACTAAAGTAGAAGTAGCAGTAAAATGTCCTTAACAAAGTTCTGAAAGACGGTGGTATTTCAAACTGTCTCAGAATAAAAAGTGTCACAACCTTGGACTTAATGAATTCCATTGAAATTCCAATAATCATCCGGCTCTGAAGGAGACATGGCACAGATGAATAAATCCGGGATTCTTTTGGGCAGAAACATAAATAACACAAACAGAGTCGTCACGCGCAATCGTCCTTTAAACTTTCTAATGATTTATGGAAATGATTGTAAGCAGTGTTTGTGTTCCAGTTACAGTCAGAACGAAGAACCAGAGAGAGAGACCAGAGAGAGACCAGAGAGAGAGACCAGAGAGAGAGACCAGAGAGAGAGACCAGAGAGAGACCAGAGAGAGAGAGACCAGAGAGAGACCAGAGAGAGGCCAGAGAGAGACCAGAGAGAGACCAGAGAGAGAGAGACCAGAGAGAGACCAGAGAGAGGCCAGAGAGAGACCAGAGAGAGACCAGAGAGAGACCAGAGAGAGGCCAGAGAGAGAGACCAGAGAGAGACCAGAGAGAGACCAGAGAGAGACCAGAGAGAGACCAGAGAGAGAGACCAGAGAGAGGCCAGAGAGAGGCCAGAGAGAGACCAGAGAGAGGCCAGAGAGAGGCCAGAGAGAGACCAGAGAGAGAGACCAGAGAGAGACCAGAGAGAGACCAGAGAGAGACCAGAGAGAGACCAGAGAGAGGCCAGAGAGAGGCCAGAGAGAGGCCAGAGAGAGGCCAGAGAGAGACCAGAGAGAGACCAGAGAGAGACCAGAGAGAGACCAGAGAGAGACCAGAGAGAGGCCAGAGAGAGAGACCAGAGAGAGACCAGAGAGAGAGACCAGAGAGAGACCAGAGAGAGACCAGAGAGAGACCAGAGAGAGGCCAGAGAGAGGCCAGAGAGAGAGACCAGAGAGAGAGACCAGAGAGAGGACCAGAGAGAGACCAGAGAGAGAGACCAGAGAGAGACCAGAGAGAGAGACTAGAGAGAGACCAGAGAGAGGCCAGAGAGAGAGACCATAGAGAGACCAGAGAGAGAGACTAGAGAGAGACCAGAGAGAGAGACTAGAGAGAGACCAGAGAGAGGCCAGAGAGAGAGACCAGAGAGAGGCCAGAGAGAGACCAGAGAGAGACCAGAGAGAGAGACTAGCGAGAGACCAGTGAGAGACCAGAGATAGACCAGAGAGAGACCAGAGATAGACCAGAGAGATAGACTGGTCTCTCCCCTCTCCACCAAACCAAACATCCAGAATTTTCTTTTCTTTGTCACAGGGAGAGTGGAGCAAACGTGAAATTGGCCTTTTCTGTTCAGCCATTTTAGGTTTTAGAAAATCTGATAACTGAACGAATCCCATTGGTTCATTTTTATCAGTCCGCCCCCATTTTAAAACACATGATAACTTGACACTTTTATGGTTTAGGGACGTTTTCCCACAAAATGCGTCTGGAATAAAATCACTGACTGCATCATTAAGTAGAGTATTCCATTTACAAGGAGCGCAGGTTAATGTTTTTCTTGATGAGAGAATCCAGAGAAAGCCTCAAGCCGTTTACAGATCAAAGTTTGGGCTGTTGCATGCTCTGCTCGTTCCTAAAAGTTGTCCTTCTGTTGGATCGTGTGTCTCCGGCTCCGGTCTCGGGGATGATGAACCATTATAATGTGATTCCCTGTAATCCCGGGCGCTGCTTTGGAAGGATTATTCAGAAAGCCAGAAGTTTGGTTTCACTCTGTATTTTGACACGTTGCCGTCTTCCCTGCGGTGAAAAGCCGACACAGCTCCAAACAACTCGCTGAACTTTCACAATGTGAGTGAAATGCTGTTTTGCTCCAGGCTTAAAAAAGGGGGTCAGAACAACTCCTGCTGACGACAACTTGGAAATGAGAAGGAGAAATATGTCTGGAAAATGTATAATCCATAAATCTTAATATCTGAACCATGGATCATTTCCATTCAATTGTTTTGTACAGCCCTAAATCTCAACAGTAGTTTTCATTACAAAGTTGTTGATTCATCGACACAGATCAGAGAATCAAACCGTTTTCAGGTTTTGATGTTGTAATGTAGCAGAGAGACGACAGGTGTTTACCATAACTCATTGGACCATAAACGTAGAGCGACTGAAACTTGGAGTCAGGCCAGAGAGAGACCAGAGAGAGACCACTGGGAGACCAGAGAGAGACCAGAGAGAGACCAGAGAGAGACCACTGGGAGACCAGAGAGAGACCAGAGAGAGACCAGAGAGAGACCAGAGAGAGACCACAGAGAGACCACAGGGCAAATAGAGAGAGACCAGAGAGAGACCAGAGAGAGACCACAGGGCGAACAGAGAGAGACCAGAGAGAGACCACAGGGAGACCAGAGAGAGACCAGAGAGAGACTAGAGAGAGACTAGAAAAAATAGACCAGAGAGAGACCAGAAAGAGAGACCAGAGAAAGGACAGAGAGAGACCACAGAGACAAACAGGGAGACCACAGAGAGACCAGAAAGAGACCAGAGAGGGACCAGAGAGAGACCAGAGAGAAACCAGAGAGAGACCAGAGTGAGACCAGAAAGAGAGACCAGAGGGAAACCAGAGAGAGACCAGAGGGAGACCAGAGAAAGGCCAGAGAGAGACCACAGAGACAAACAGGGAGACCACAGAGAGACCAGAAAGAGACCATAGAGAGACCAGAGAAAGACATAGAACACTGAAACTTGGAGTTAAAATGAACTCTACCGTTGTAAAAATACAGATATTAGCTGCATCGCTATTTACGACGCAGGATCCCAAGAACCAGGAAACAGTAGCGGCTCATATGCGAAAATTACGGTACTATTACGGTACGGCAGGTGTCTCCAGCCTCATTCACCCAGAGAGCTACTTTCTTGGGATGATGAAGGCAGAGAGCTACTCCTTTAAAGCGGCCTTGAGAAAAATATGGTGATATTTTGTTGTGAAGGAGCCTGATGTCGGGTACAGTCCTTCTTTATCGTCACATATGTTACTATTGGACAGAGTCAGTGCATTTACAATGATAAGAAATGAAAATGAAGGGGGTGGTGAGCTACTGGTGTCTCCTGAACTAGCGGTTGGAGGCCCCTGCGGTGCGGTACTGTCTGTAGTGGACCCTAAAGCTACCTTCAAAGCCATAACAGCGTTTTCTTCTTCTTCTCTGTAAAGTTGTATAAAAAACTAACTCCCCGTGCTCTTCATCGTGCGAGCAACAACCCATCCTCTCACAAATCCTTTTAACAAATGTCACCAGTTGGTAGACAGTCTGCCTCTGCCGGAGCAGTGAGTTCGGGGCCCGGTATATCTTGAGTGGCCCCTCGCTGAGAAGGACCCCCCCCCCCTCTCTCGCTGCCTCCTCCTTTCTTTCCCAGACGCTTCCTGACATATGTTGATGGATGCTGCAGTCCCATTCCTATACCGACATCAGCACAAACAATATTAAGATTCCAGACCGGCCCCTGAGTCTGCGAGGGCCCCGGAGCTGGTGCATCGCCGGGGCCCCAGAGCGGTGCCGGCGCCGGTGCAGTGCGGACGCTGCTTGACAAGACTTCACTGTCAGAATGTGTGTCAGTTCCTCCGATGGGGAAGAATTTGCATTTCTGGCTGTGTTTTGACACCTTTCCTCCATGACTCATTTGAGGCGAGGCCCTGACAGCAGAGATGATGAATATGTTGGAGGAAACACATCTTATTCTCTGCACAAAAACTCTCTGGAAATGAGGCTGACCTGTGCGCAACCTGCTCCCGCTACTCTTTCATAACTCATATTTGTGTTCATGGGAAGCACATTTTTCATCATGCCGCAAGTTCGAGGGAGAGACAGTGTGCAAAAACAGCAGGCATCTGTCAGAGGTGTTCTGCAATCGTCAACTTTTTAAAAATAGGTTTCAATCTGCAGAAGATAATTCGCTGGTTCACCTTTTTCGGGGTTTCGCTGGTTTGTGTGTGAGTGTGTTTTTCCTGCTTTTTGTAACAGCGTGTGCTCCGTGACTTCACATTCTAACACGCAAAATGACAATAAGTATCTATATTATCATATTTAATGGCCGAAAATAATGCTTTATACAGTGGTCTGACTCTAAAACACGGTTCACTTTGCGTGGCTTCGCTGGAGATTTCTCAGTGTGTAATTTTGCATGTTTTTTTTACAGCTTGCTTCTGATGTGTTGTTGCGTGCTTACTCCAACATCATATAAACATCAGATAATCTCTGCTATAACATGACAGTTAAGCTAGCGGCAGACGCGTTGGGAGATCACCAGCGTCATCAGTTTTTGCAGTGTAAGGAGTAATAAGCAAACTTTCCCTAAAGAAATATACAAATGGGTTGCTGGTTACCCCCTGCTCCAAGACAAATGTATCCCTGAAGAGATGAACTAATCTGATGGAGCCTGTGGTCAAACAGTAAAGCGTGAAAACAGGTTGTGGTACTGGACTAGAAGGAGGAGCACAGAGAGGAGGTGGGAGGAGCACAGAGAGAATGTGGGAGGAGCAAAGGAAGCAGGTGGGAGGAGCATAGAGAGAAGGTGGGAGGAGCACAGAGAGGAGGGGGGAGGAGCACAGAGAGAAGGTGGGAGGAGTAAAGGAAGCAGGTGGGAGGAGCACAGAGAGAAGGTGGGAGGAGCACAGAGAGAAGGTGGGAGGAGCACAGAGAGGAGGGGGGAGGAGCACAGAGAGAAGGATGGGAGGAGTAAAGGAAGCAGGTGGGAGGAGCACAGAGAGAAGGTGGGAGGAGCACAGAGAGAAGGTGGGTGGAGTACAGAGAGAAGGTGGGAGGAGCAAAGGAAGCAGGTGGGAGGAGCATAGAGAGAAGGTGGGAGGAGCACAGAGAGAAGGTGGGAGGAGCAAAGGAAGCAGGTGGGAGGAGCATAGAGAGAAGGTGGGAGGAGCACAGAGAGAAGGTGGGAGGAGCACAGAGAGAAGGTGGGAGGAGCACAGAGAGAAGGTGGGAGGAGCACAGAAAGAAGGTGGGAGGAGCACAGAGAGAAGGTGGGAGGAGCACAGAGAGAAAGTGGGAGGAGCACAGAGAGAAAGTGGGAGGAGCACAGAGAGAAAGTGGGAGGAGCACAAAGAGGAGGTGCGAGGAGCACAGAGAGAAAGTGGGAGGAGCACAGAGAGAAAGTGGGAGGAGCACAGAGAGAAGGTGGGAGGAGCACAGAGAGGCGGTGGGAGGAGCACAGAGAGAAGGTGGGAGGAGCACAGAGAGAATGTGGGAGGAGCAAAGGAAGCAGGTGGGAGGAGCATAGAGAGAAGGTGGGAGGAACACAGAGAGAAGGTGGGAGGAGCACAGAGAGAAGGTGGGAGGAGCACAGAGAGAAGGTGGGAGGAGCACAGAGAGAAGGTGGGAGGAGCACAGAGAGAAGGTGGGAGGAGCACAGAGAGAAGGTGGGAGGAGTACAGAGAGAAGGTGGGAGGAGCAAAGGAAGCAGGTGGGAGGAGCACAGAGAGGAGGTGGGAGGAGCACAGAGAGGAGGTGGGAGGAGAGTGGGAGGAGAGTGGAAATGGAGCTGCAGAGTTAAAAGCCTGCCCAGTGTTAAACAGCTCTTTCTTTGAGTCTCACAGAGGATTCTTTCATAAACGTGGAACTGAACAAAACACTTGGTTGGTTTGACGTTTCAACAGCAGCAAATATTCCCAGCTCTGGACGACTCACAGAACGACAATGTGTTCACTGTGAAGGTTTGGGAACGAGTCACACTTACAGACTCCAGAGATGAGGGTTTTATTCTTCAACAAGAATGTATTTAGTGGATTTAAATTATAGTATTCTATCAATCAAGGGTCAGTTTATGGAAAAAAGTTGGTAAATGTTGTCATCCTCTGGTGGTCACAGAGAGACCAGAGAGAGACCAGAGAGAGACTAGAGAGAGACCAGAGAGAGACCAGAGAGAGACCAGAGAGAGACTAGAGAGAGACCAGAGAGAGACCAGAGAGAGACCAGAGAGAGACCAGAGAGAGACTAGAGAGAGACCAGAGAGAGACCAAAGAGAGACCAGAGAGAGACCAGAGAGACTAGAGAGAGACCAGAGAGAGACCAAAGAGAGACCAGAGAGAGACCAGAGAGAGACTAGAGAGAGACCAGAGAGAGACCAGAGAGAGACCAGAGAGAGACCAGAGAGAGACTAGAGAGAGACCAGAGAGAGACCAAAGAGAGACCAGAGAGACTAGAGAGAGACCAGAGAGAGACCAAAGAGAGACCAGAGAGAGACCAGAGAGAGACTAGAGAGAGACCAGAGAGAGACCAAAGAGAGACCAGAGAGAGACCAGAGAGAGACACTAGAGAGAGACCAGAGAGAGACCAGAGAGAGACTAGAGAGAGACCAGAGAGAGACCAGAGAGAGACCAGAGAGAGACCAGAGAGAGACTAGAGAGAGACCAGAGAGAGACCAAAGAGAGACCAGAGAGAGACCAGAGAGAGACTAGAGAGAGACCAGAGAGAGACTAGAGAGAGACTAGAGAGAGACCAGAGAGAGACTAGAGAGAGAGACCAGAGAGAGACTAGAGAGAGACCAGAGAGAGACCACAGAGAGACCAGAGACTGACCAGAGAGAGCCTAGAGAGCGCCCAGAGAGAGAGTCCAGGGAGAAACCACAGAGAGAAACCAGAGAGTGCCCAGAGAAAGAGTCCAGGGAGAGACCAGAGAGAGATGAAAAACTGTAAAACCCAGTGGTAGAAAATTAGAAACCTCTGGGATTCTCTCTCACAGCCGGATGGGCTATAGATCCAGGACTCGGGCTGTAGAACGAGGACCGAGGGTGGCTCTCAAGCAGGACGGGGGTGCAGCCCATGAGTCCGGGCTGGACAGTCCATAGGCCGATGGAGGAGGCCTGGTTCTGGGATCGCCATGAAACAGACAATGGGACAGAGGGTGAATAGCAATGAAAAACATTATTTATGAGAAAGGCAGGTTCAGTACCCCAGCTTTAACATTGACCTCGTGAACCCCAATGCCGTGTAGCGCAGTGTCTGTGAGTCCTGTGTGGTTCAGGAGATTTGATCGTGGTCTTTCTCGCTGTGTGCAGGTGATAAAGGCCATAGAGGAGGGCTACCGGCTCCCCGCTCCCATGGACTGCCCCCCCGGCCTGCACCAGCTCATGTTGGACTGCTGGCAGAAGGAGAGAGCGGAGAGGCCCAAGTTCGACCAGATCGTGTCGGTTCTGGACAAGATGATCCGGAACCCCAACACGCTCAAGACCCCGGTGGGAACCTGCACAAGGTGAGAGCGATGGCGGAAAAACTTATGGAAGTTTTCTTCCATATGTGTGAGTGAAATCCAGAGAGAGACCAGAGAGAGACCAGAGAGAGACCAGAGAGAGACCAGAGAGAAAGACCAGAGAGAGAGACCAGAGAGAGAGACCAGAGAGAGTGACCAGAGAGAGAGACCAGAGAGAGAGAGACCAGAGAGAGACCAGAGAGAAAGACCAGAGAGAGAGACCAGAGAGAGAGAGATCAGAGAGAGACCAGAGAGAGACCAGAGAGAGACCAGAGAGGGAGACCAGAGAGAGAGAGACCAGAGAGAGAGACCAGAGAGAGAGACCAGAGAGAGACCAGAGAGAGACCAGAGAGAGACCAGAGTGAGAGACCAGAGAGAGAGACCAGAGAGAGAGAGACCAGAGAGAGAGACCAGAGTGAGAGAGACCAGAGAGAGAGACCAGAGTGAGAGAGACCAGAGAGAGAGACCAGAGAGAGACTAGAGTGAGAGACCAGAGTGAGAGACCAGAGAGAGAGACCAGAGAGAGAGAGACCAGAGAGACCAGAGAGAGAGACCAGAGAGAGACCAGAGAGAGAGAGACCAGAGAGAGACCAGAGAGAGATAACAGCGTGAGAGACCAGAAAGAGACCAGAGAGAGACCAGTGACAGTGAGACCAGAGAGAGAGACCAGAGAGAGAGACCAGAGAGAGACCAGAGAGAGACCAGAGAGAGAGACCAGAGTGAGAGACCAGAGTGAGAGACCAGAGAGAGAGAGACCAGAGAGAGAGACCAGAGTGAGAGAGACCAGAGAGAGACCAGAGAGAGACCAGAGAGAGATAACAGCGTGAGAGACCAGAAAGAGACCAGAGAGAGACCAGTGACAGTGAGACCAGAGAGAGAGACCAGAGAGAGAGACCAGAGAGAGACCAGAGAGAGAGACCAGAGTGAGAGACCAGAGAGAGAGAGACCAGAGAGAGAGACCAGAGAGAGAGACCAGAGTGAGAGAGACCAGAGAGAGAGACCAGAGAGAGAGAGACCAGAGAGACCAGAGAGAGAGACCAGAGAGAGACCAGAGAGAGAGACCAGAGAGAGACCAGAGAGAGATAACAGCGTGAGAGACCAGAAAGAGACCAGAGAGAGACCAGTGACAGTGAGACCAGAGAGAGAGACCAGAGAGAGAGACCAGAGAGAGACCAGAGAGAGAGACCAGAGTGAGAGACCAGAGAGAGAGAGACCAGAGAGAGAGACCAGAGAGAGAGACCAGAGTGAGAGAGACCAGAGAGAGAGACCAGAGTGAGAGAGACGAGAGAGAGAGACCAGAGAGAGACTAGAGTGAGAGACCAGAGTGAGAGACCAGAGAGAGAGACCAGAGAGAGAGAGACCAGAGAGACCAGAGAGAGAGACCAGAGAGAGACCAGAGAGAGAGACCAGAGAGAGACCAGAGAGAGACGAGAGAGAGACGAGAGAGAGATAACAGCGTGAGAGACCAGAAAGAGACCAGAGAGAGACCAGTGACAGTGAGACCAGAGAGAGAGACCAGAAAGAGACCAGAGAGAGAACGGAGAGAGGCGGCCTTTTTCATCAGGCCTTTGGACCAGCCTGCTAAGACATCAGCCTAATCTGAGTGATAATTGTTGTCCTCTTGATTTGATTTTTATATATAAATACAGTATTTGTTATTATGTTTTTCACAAACTCGGCCATCTGCAGTTCCTGATCCGTGAGAAGAGTGTTGTCGTGCACAGGCTCCAACAAGTGTCTTGGCTCCGACTTCACACAGATTTGCCAAATAAATAAGAACATTGATCTCACTGGAAACACATGATGCAACAATATCAAAGATCTCATTCTGTGTGTGCAGGTTTACTTTGACAGATGTGTTCTTCTTCCACCAGTAAATACAGTTGTGTTTGGGAGTTTACGGCCCACGCAGATATTTGGAGAATAAAAATTATGACTTTTGAAACACTTTTTTCAATCATTGTCAGTGGTTGTGGAAAGCCAATAATTCAAATCAACGTTTTCTTTTTTCAAATTATAATGACGACAGAAACTCCTCTTCTGACCTCTTCTCTTTGATGACGTGAGACCAGAGAGAGAGACCAGAGAGAGACCAGAGAGACCAGAGAGAGGCCAGAGAGAGGCCAGAGAGAGACCAGAGAGAGACCAGAGAGAGACCAGAGAGAGGCCAGAGAGAGACCAGAGAGAGGCCAGAGAGAGACCAGAGAGAGACCAGAGAGAGACCAGAGAGAGACCAGAGAGAGACCAGAGAGAGACCAGAGAGAGACCAGAGAGAGACCAGAGAGAGGCCAGAGAGAGACCAGAGAGAGGCCAGAGAGAGACCAGAGAGAGGCCAGAGAGAGGCCAGAGAGAGACCAGAGAGAGACCAGAGAGAGACCAGAGAGAGGCCAGAGAGAGGCCAGAGAGAGACCAGAGAGAGAGACCAGAGAGAGACCAGAGAGAGACCAGAGAGAGGCCAGAGAGAGACCAGAGAGAGGCCAGAGAGAGAGACTAGAGGGAGAGACCAGAGAAAGACCAGAGACAGGTCAGAGAGAGACCAGAGAGAGGGACTAGAGAGAGACCGCAGGGAGAGACTAGAGAGAGACCAGAGAGAGACCAGAGAGAGGCCAGAGAGAGGCCAGAGAGAGACCAGAGAGAGGCCAGAGAGAGACCAGAGAGACCAGAGAGAGACCAGAGAGAGGCCAGAGAGAGACCAGAGAGACCAGAGAGAGACCAGAGAGAGGCCAGAGAGAGGTCAGAGAGAGGCCAGAGAGAGACCAGAGAGAGGCCAGAGAGAGACCAGAGAGACCAGAGAGAGACCAGAGAGAGGCCAGAGAGAGGCCAGAGAAAGACCAGAGAGAGGCCAGAGAGAGACCAGAGAGACCAGAGAGAGACCAGAGAGAGGCCAGAGAGAGACCAGAGAGACCAGAGAGAGACCAGAGAGAGTGAGTGACCAGTGAGATTTATTTGTCAGTATTAGCTCCTTTTCCAGTACTTTCCAACTTTGCCCAACTCTACTCTACTCTACTCTACTCTACTCTACTCTACTCTACTCTACTCTACTCTACTCTACTCTACTCTACTCTACTCTACTCTACTCTACTCTACTCTACTCCACTCTACTCTACTCTGTTTTCATTACGTTTTAGTATCAGGTTCTGTATCCTACCAACCTACCCACAACAAACTAGCTCGAGACAGTGAATGGATGGTGTTTGGTCAGAGGCTTTGATGGTCCAGTGTGTTCAGGTCTTGCTTCCGTCATCACCGTGTGGAGAGAATGAAAGATATCTAAATTCTGAACATAGTAAAGTGCTTTGGGTGAGCTTGGTCTGTAAAGCTACTATTATTACATACCCTGCTTACCCTAAGTGGACCTAACCTTAGTAGCTGAAATGGTGCTTAAAGAGGAGGCGGGAGCGGGGTTAGTTATTATGAGGAACTATTGTAAATGTTTGTAGTGGTAGGGGAACCTGGAGCACCCAGAGGGAACCTACACAGACACAGGGAGAACATGCCAACGCTCTGGAGGTGGAATCAAACCCAACCCAGGACCTTGGTGCTGCATCTGCGTCACCAAATCTCCAACAATGGTCCAAAACAGTGGAATCTACGTCTGGATTCTTAAACTTTCAAGGCCAAGTGTACAAAGCCGTCTGAGTACTTCTGTATCCTTACACCTGGGCAGAGACCGTGGGGACTTTGGTGCAGCGTTCGGACACATTAGCGGCTGATCCTGAGTCCGGGACAATGATTCAGAAGCTGTCGTTCACAGATGAAAGATAAATCCTGGGAGATCACCCCATAGAGCTGCCTTTGTGGCTTTATGGTCAATAGCCGCCTTTTAAATCAATCTTTGTAATGAGTTCTTGGTACTCCGAAGCGCAGAGGGAACCGCGGGCCTCGCCGTAGACGTTTGTCAAATGATTTCTATTTGTGCCGTGGTTTCTGAGAGGCTCCAGACTAATGCCAGGAGCCAGCGTTTGGTTAAAGAGCAGTTTGATAGTTGCAGAGTTTTCAGAAATCCATACAGGGAGAAGAGGTATCGAGTGGTGTATTTCTCACAAGGCTGCATCCTTCATCTGTTGCTCAACTTTGTATCGATTCATCACTAAGAGTTTTTCAGGTTTTTACACTTTTGAGTTATCGCTGAGTGTCGGTGTCGGTGCTGCCCTTTAATTGTTTGGATGTGTTTTGGTCTTGAAACTTTGACAAGGAGGAAAAAAGTAGTTTGAAGACGTCTGTTTGAGCCTGGTTTAGACTTCAGGTTTAAGATTCATGGCCAATTTCAATACTTTTTGGCGCGAGAGATGTTTCAGAAATGCAAACTCAAGACAAAAGGTTGGAGCCCTGGAACTTTATAGGAGATACAGTACTGCTGAAATCAGTAACAGAAATAAAGTAGTCAAAAAATATACTAATAGTAATACATCAAACTTCTATAGCGCTTTTTTGGACACTCAAAGACGCTTTACAAAACAAATAAAAATATACATTGAGAAACAAAATTAAGGAAAGGCTGAAACAGGTGGATTTTGAGAAGAGACTAAAAGTTCTGCAGTGAGTCTGAGTTTCTAATTGGTTGAGGGAGTGAGTCCCAGACAGTGGGGGCGGCTGCTGCGACGGCTCGGTCTCCCAAGGTTCGGTGTTTAGTCCTGAGGGGAGTGAGGAGGTTGGAGTCTGTGGGTCTGAGGCGGCGGGAGGGACAGTGATGATGGAGGAGGTCAGTGAGGTTTGAAGGGGCAGGTTATGGAGGGACTTGTAGGTGAGAAGGAGGACCTTGTATTGGATGCGGTATGGAACAGGAAGCCAGTGGAGTTGTTTGAGGGCGGGGGTGATGTGGTCTCTGGAGCGGGTGTGTGTGAGCGGGCGGGCGGCAGAGTTCTGGATGTATGGAACAGGAAGGCCAGTGGAGTTGTTTGAGGACGGGGGTGATGTGGTCTCTGGAGCGGGTGTGTGTGAGCGGGCGGGCGGCAGAGTCCTGGATGTATTGCAGTTTTTCGAGATATAAGAGAAATAGAGACGTAACGTTTGTGGGAAGCCAGGTCCCTGTACAGAAAGTGTCCTAGATTCAGTATCTCATGCAACAATCATCCAACTCTGGTTCCTAAAGGGTCACATGTCATTTTTGGTATATTCATGGATATGTTGCAGTAGATAGGAGTGACCACTGTCCGTAAATGTCCCTAAATGTCAAAAGATTATGTATTTATTTTTTCCGACGGCGATAGAACCATTAAAGTAAAGGCAACTAAGTCCGTCTGAAAAGGAGTTATATAAACACTTATATAATCCCACCCCTATCTTTTGTTCTAATTTTGTAACTTAACAGACTTCCTCTAAATTGTTATTTTAGCTCTGAATAAAAGTTATAACACACAATGAATCTGGATCAAACACACACATTAAAAAATCATCTATTTTCTTTGGTTACAGACTGTTTCTTTAAATCCATACTTGAACTGTTTCATATTCGGACACTGTTGTATGTATGGATTTATTTATGTATTTTTTGCTCATGCCAGTTACACATCAGAATCAGAATCATTTGTATTGCCATGTAAGTAACAGGAAGTCAGTGGCTTTGGCTCGGTGCATCAGTCAGAAAGAGAGGTGAAGAATAGAGAATAGAGTAAGGCATTATAAAATATACAATTCTTCCGTCTTGTACCAACACGGTCAATATCGGCTTTGACATGTGTTGATTTTGGCTCTTTGAAAACTGTCCAATACAGACAGACACCAGTGTGATGGAGTGAACCACATGATGTCCACACAGATGAAAACACTTGACTGCTTCTCCATGTTTCTGTTCCACACTTGTCACACCTGTGGCCTGTGCTGCAGCTGTGCCTCAGCCTGTCCTCTCCTCGCTTCTCTAAACATGTGCCGTCCTCTTCCACAGACCCATTAGCCCGCTGCTGGATCAGAACACCCCCGACTTCACGGCGTTCCGCTCGGTGGGAGAGTGGCTGGAAGCTATCAAGATGGAGCGATACCGGGACAACTTCACCGCAGCAGGCTACAGCTCGCTGGAGTCTGTGGCCCGCATGTCCATCGAGTGAGTTAGCAGCCACTAAACACATTCTACTACGGCAAATACAGAGACACAACTGTAGGAAACATAACAAAAATACTACCTTTGCACTTGTTAAAACGCTAAACTGAAATCACTCTTTCTCTTGTACATCACTGCTGGATTTGACTTTATTTTTGAGTCTGTTTTTTGGCGCTTTGGTAAGTCTGAATGATGGTGATGTTGTGTGCTCTTTCTGTTCTGTGGCCGGAGATGCTACGCTCAAATGTCCTCTCAGTGGGACCAACACTGGATCTCTTAATCTTTACTATTTTGACCTGTACCTGACAGACATCTTCCTGCTGCTCATTATAAACAGGATTTCTGAACTCACCCTAACGGACAATTACACTGAAATCTCTACTCAATCACTGCTGGATTAGATTTCAAACATAATGTATTTTGCATAGCCTTTACAAAGTCGTTGATTCGCCAACACAGATCACAGTTCAACACAAGAAATACAATGATTTAAATAGATAAATAAGTATTGCCATTGCTCCATAAGAGGCAGAGACAAATGTCCATAAATGTTGTTGAATGTGGAGCGCCCTGAACCATCCCCAGACCCTCCTGCTTCGACAAAGAAAACATTAGGGCTTTTATATTGATTTTGAATTGTATAATGTCGTCTTTATAAATAAATGAGGCAGTATTACAGGCGATTGAAATATACATGTGTGAATTGGAGCTATCTGGTGGCATCTGTCTAAGCAGGAGATGGATGGGTTTTAATCAGTATTTTGTGAGAAGAGAGCGGTCCAGCTGCTTACAAACCGTTCAATGGGAAAATCATGACAGATTGAAATTTGATTCTGTTTGTAGTAATCGTGCAAACCCAAATACATCTAGTCAAAATATCGCACTGAAAATCAAAACTCTCATTTAAAAAACATACGTATATTAATATATTCAGTAAGTAATCAATCATGGATTTCTCCTCTCACCAATCTGTTAGTTTGGGAGCCCCTAAAATCTAACTGAAAGATTAAGAGATTAAGGATTCTGATAAGTAAGAACAAGCCCACACCGTTGTTTGCCCTTGAAATCGACCACAATAAAATCACTTAAAATGTCAGCGGCTTGATCCATGTCCTCCCGCAAGAACATCCAAGAACACTTCTGGAATCAATCAACTTAAAAGTCCACAATTCTAACGCTTACAAACAAGTCGGCAGCCTTTGACTAACTTCTTACTCCCGGTAATGAAACGCCGTAAATCTTTTTTTTAAAAACACACACACACGGTTGTGATAAATCTTCTTTTGTTTTGGCTTGACTTTCTCTTTTTTCTGCAGAGACGTGATGAGTTTGGGGATCTCGCTGGTCGGTCATCAGAAGAAGATCATGAGCAGCATACAGACTACACGCGCCCAAATGCTGCACCTTCACGGAACCGGGGTCCAAGTCTGACCCAGAAACCCCTAGAAGCCTGATCGGGCGAGACTCTAGTTGTGCACTTCCGGAAAGAGAGAGAGAGGTGCCATAGCTGGGCCGCGGACTTTCCCCCGGAGGTTTTTTCAGGTGCCAATCCTTCGGGAAAGCTCGTCGAACTCCGCTGAGGGGGTCGGCGAGCTGCAGGACAAAGCGCGTACAGCCTCCAACAGCGAAGAAACTACCTGGATGACGATTTTGTCTTTCTACCGAAGCGCTTACAAACTTTTCCACATATCAACAGCGCTTTTTGGATAGAGAACATTGCAATGGATTTACTGAACTTGACACAGGGTAAACGTTCTTGTCCAAAAGTGGGAGAATCAATGTGACTGCGACAAGAAACTTAAGGTGGAATTTCTAAAGATTGTACCTGTCCGAACCTTTTAAATCACCTTTTTCGGTTTTGTATTTGAGTAGCAATATCTATTAGTGTCCACTGCAGGTGTTCTTTGAGACAGGAATGATCTGATTGTAACGGACGCACCGCAAACTAGCTTGTTTTTGTTTATTTCTTACCTGAAATGTTTCGAGGGGGAAGTCCTGATACTGCCTTAAAATGTATTCGAAGTACTGACACTGTCTTATTTCGGGGATGCCGTTTTTTTTCTTTCAACTTCTCGCATGTGGAATCAGTCAAGCGAAGAGCATGGACATAGAGAAACCGTTTGTAGATCGTCCAAACAGCAATAATTACAAGTCGATCGTGATGTTTTTACGGTGCTAGGGTTTGCGGTGGGACTGACACCTTGAGTTCAGGGCTGTGATCGGGCCTCAGCCGGCGAAACGGATCTCTCACACACACACACACACACACACACACACACACACACACGTTTTGGAGATGACACGCTCGCCGTTTGATGGGAATGCGAGGTGGCATTTGGGAGCGCCACAGATGTGAGAGGCTGGAGAGGGCTGCTAAGACGCCCCGACATCATCTCTCTATAACACACACACACACAATCAAAGAGCGACTCCAGAACCAAAAGGCAAAGCTGTCGTTTCGAAAAGACTTGTACGAGACTGAACGCGATCGCTGAAGCAAAGTGGAAGCTATCTGATGCCGTCTGTGTCTCACTCTCTGAAGCAGGGGATGGAGGTTATTCTGATCCGTACGGTGTGTGAGAAAAACCGGGTTCAGCTGCTGCTCAACCAGGTCCCAGTCAGCAAAACACAAAAACATGTCATTTTCTATTGTATTTAGATATACCCCAAAGCACAGCACAGATTTACACACACACACTTTACTTGCACCTGTGTGGTTGTGTTTGTATTCATGGAAATTGGGCCCAAAAGACAAAATATTAGTGTGTTTTGTGTTCATTTTGATATTATGAGAAAGTGTTGATGCCGCAATCACAATCAAAGTCTCTTCTTCTGTAAGACATCGTACTCGTCATCACAACGTTATGGTAGTGTTTCTTGTGTTTAGTCGAACTCATATCGGGCAAGATCATTCTCAAGCTATTCAGGAAAAGTCCAAAACTGTTTTATTTTTGTTAATTAGAGTCAGGGCATCAGCTGTGAATTAACGGTTCTAATCATTCTCAGTCTCGTTGTCTTTGGCTTTTGGGGACACTGCAAAAACTAATGAAATATTCGGGAAAATGCCTCTCAATTCGAGGACGTTCTGCCCTAGAACAAGATTTGCCAACGGGAAAAGATCAATTATCTTGTTTTAAAAAGATACAATAAATGTCTGCCTTGGAATGAGAAAAAAAATCAGCAGTTCTTGGAGTCGGATTAAATGTGTTAGCCGTTGTTTCCCGCCACAGATGATAAAAAAGTAGAAGAAAATGATGCACTGGAAAAAAATCCCTCTAAAAATAAGTAAAATACTGCTTTAAATAAGACAAAATATCTGTCAATAGAAGAAAGTATGACTTGACAAGATTTCTAAGAATAAAAAAATTATACCAGCCCAAAATGACTTGATTCTAGTTTAAAAACATACATTTCAAGTATGATTTTCTTATTTCTTAAACATGTTTGAGAAATGTGTTGATTATAACATACTTATTTTATCTAAACAATCATAAAAATACTTAAAACAAGCATTAAAAAACTCACTGCTCCGTATTTTCTCTTTAATAATATTATGAAGTATTATTATCTTAAAACTAGTAAAATAATCGTACCTGACAAACTAAATTCAAGCAAAAAAACTGAAAGCCATTAAAAAATAAGCATAATTATTTTTAGTAAATAAAACTTACCAAGTATTTATTTTTTTCAGTGTGGGTGAGAAACCTCCCTGTACGACTGAGAGCTCACAAACTCAGAAGAAAAATATCTTAAAAGGGTTTAAAAGGTCATATTCGACAATGGCTCAGTTGGTAGAGCATTGTACTCTGAGCCCGAAGGTTGTGGGTTCGAGTCCACCACAAGACCTTCTCCACCGACTCCCACTGATGTCTGCTGCCGTTGTGTCCTTGGGCAAGACACTTAACCCACTTTGCCTATAAGGAGCGTGGAAGTGATGTTCGCTGCTTGCCTTGATGTGTTAAACTGAAATATCCCGATTGAGAGACAACTAAAGGACCTTCTTCTTCTTCTATTCGTTAAAAAGAATCATCAAAACTCAGGTTGAAAACAAAGGATATTTACATTTCTTGGCAAATCTTGTTTAGAGTCAGTCTGAATGTACTGATATACAGATAAAAACCCTTGATTCAAGCATACATGACTTCATATTGTATCACATTGTGCAGTGTAGCCGTGGTAGCGTTAGCAGAAAGGGCTAGCGTTGGCGCAGGCCCTTGTCACAGTTGGCGTCCTCTTACTGAACGCTGTCAGCGGCGAGCACTCTGAGCCTCTTTATCCATCCCGCCCGCTCAGCAGTTGGGCCGCAGCCAGACCCTTTGAATTCAACACTGACCTGAACTCATTCGCTCAGCACAAAACACACGGCCCTCTCTCCTCTCTGCTTCCATGGGCCCCTGGAGTCCAACCCCCAACCCTCCCCTGCGGACCCCAAATACCTCTGCCTCCGTCCCGCTGCGCAGGGGGAGGCGGCAGGTCCAGCCAGATTGAGATTAAGGCCAGGATACAATCGATAGTGTCCCGATCCCACACGACCTTCACCAATGACAGGCACTGGTCTGTCGCGGGGTCAGACCGACGCTGGACTAAACCACAGGACAATGCAAAAAAACACAATGGAGGAACTGGACTTTTGAAAGAAATCAGGACCGTGTTGTTTAGACACATTTCCCCCAAAGAGGTCTGTTCTGGCTGCGACGAGTCCACGGAAAGGGTCTCATATTTGGATGATTCCTGTCGAGTTTCTTACGGTTAAAAAAGGATTATGATTCACCTGGGCTAACCTACAATGAATCTTAATTTTTGGATAGCCCTGTCACAATAACTCATTTTGATGGATGATAAACTAGTATTGAAATTGATTAGAATAAACAATCTACTTGCCACTGGCACAAATACAACAGGCCAAAGTACTCCTGGTAAAGCAACATTTAGTTTTGTCTATTTCATTAGAAAGCGGGAACATATAAACATAATAAGATATATTTAGTTTTGTTGAAGAGTCTTTATCCAAAACGTCATTGTTTTAAATAAAGAATGTAAAGAGTTAGTACAGAAAATGCCCGGACGATAAACAATCTCCAATCACTCATCTCTACAATTCACAGTAGAAAACAAAAGTTTGGGCATCCCTCTCAATTGTTGGATTTTATTTAATTCATTGGTCGTTTGTGCAAGATATTTCTGTTAAATACATCCTACCGGAGACAGTGATATTTGAGAAGTGAAAGAGTTTATATTTTTTACAGAAAGAGAGTGATTTAAACCAGCTCAGGAACCGAAAATATTGCATCACGCTGTTAATTCAAATATATTGACGGAAAACACAAGAAAAGACACTTAACCACAGGAGATAAAAATAATTAAAAGTCAAAAATGTTCTTCAGAAATTGGGTTTTCTGGCTAGCTCACCACTCTCTTCCTGACTAGCTCGCCACTCTCTTCCTGATTAGCTCGCCACTCTCTTCCTGATTAGCTCACCACTCTCTTCCTGACTAGCTCGCCACTCTCTTCCTGATTAGCTCGCCACTCTCTTCCTGACTAGCTCGCCACTCTCTCCCTGATTAGCTCGCCACTCTCTCCTTGACTAGCTCGCCACTCTCTCCCTGACTAGCTCGCCACTCTCTTCCTGACTAGCTCGCCACTCTCTCCCTGACTAGCTCGCCACTCTCTCCCTGATTAGCTCACCACTCTCTTCCTGACTAGCTCGCCACTCTCCCTGATTAGCTCACCACTCTCTTCCTGACTAGCTCACCACTCTCTTCCTGACTAGCTCACCACTCTCTCCCTGACTAGCTCGCCACTCTCTCCCTGATTAGCTCGCCACTCTCTCCCTGACTAGCTCGCCACTCTCTCCCTGACTAGCTCGCCACTCTCTTCCTGACTAGCTCGCCACTCTCTCCCTGACTAGCTCGCCACTCTCTTCCTGACTAGCTCATCACTCTCTTCCTGATTAGCTCGCCACTCTCTTCCTTGCTAGCTCGCCACTCTCTTCCTGACTAGCTCACCACTCTCTTCCTGACTAGCTCGCCACTCTCTTCCTGACTAGCTCGCCACTCTCTTCCTGACTAGCTCACCACTCTCTTCCTGACTAGCTCGCCACTCTCTTCCTGACTAGCTCGCCACTCTCTTCCTGACTAGCTCGCCACTCTCTTCCTGACTAGCTCACCACTCTCTTCCTGACTAGCTCACCACTCTCTCCCTGACTAGCTCACCACTCTCTTCCTGACTAGCTCGCCACTCTCTCCCTGACTAGCTCGCCACTCTCTCCCTGACTAGCTCGCCACTCTCTTCCTGACTAGCTCGCCACTCTCTCCCTGACTAGCTCGCCACTCTCTCCCTGACTAGCTCGCCACTCTCTTCCTGACTAGCTCACACTCTCTTCCTGATTAGCTCGCCACTCTCTCCTGATAGCTCGCCACTCTCTCCCTGACTAGCTCGCCACTCTCTCCTGACTAGCTCGCCACTCTCTTCCTGACTAGCTCGCCACTCTCTTCCTGACTAGCTCGCCACTCTCTCCCTGACTAGCTCGCCACTCTCTTCCTGACTAGCTCGCCACTCTCTTCCTGACTAGCTCACCACTCTCTTCCTGACTAGCTCACCACTCTCTCCCTGACTAGCTCGCCACTCTCTTCCTGACTAGCTCACCACTCTCTCCCTGACTAGCTCGCCACTCTCTTCCTGACTAGCTCGCCACTCTCTCCCTGACTAGCTCACCACTCTCTCCCTGACTAGCTCGCCACTCTCTCCCTGACTAGCTCACCACTCTCTCTCTGACTAGCTCGCCACTCTCTTCCTGACTAGCTCGCCACTCTCTTCCTGACTAGCTCACCACTCTCTCCCTGACTAGCTCGCCACTCTCTTCCTGACTAGCTCACCACTCTCTCCCTGGCAAGCTCACCACTCTCTCCCTGACTAGCTCACCACTCTCTTCCTGACTAGCTCACCACTCTCTTCCTGACTAGCTCACCACTCTCTCCCTGATTAGCTCTCCACTCTCTCCCTGATTAGCTCTCCACTCGCAGCCGCAGACCTTTTGGGGGAAATGCCTCTGTTTTGAAGCGAACGAGGTGTTGACGCATGTTTCCAAAGAGCAGCACCACTGATTGTCTGGAGTGAGGGGAAGACTTTGTAGTTGTTCTAATTGTAAAACTTGTACATTTTATTTATATGATTTTTTTACACCTATTACTCAGTAGAGCTCTGAATACTTTGAAATGCACTATATTTTTCTATGTCCAGAGGAATTATCGTCACACCGACTTCAGTTGTACATACTTTATCATTTAGGACCAAAGACAGTTCAGGAGGTGGTTTTTCTTTGGCCTTTCTTGTCGTACAGTGATGTTATTATTTATTTGACCGGTACAGTGCGGTTCTCCCTCCAACATTGAGTTAGACTTGTTACATAGACAATTCTTTTGCTTTGTAACCTTTGTACTAGACTGTACATATATTTTTGGAAATATATTACAATCTCTACAGAAGCACTGCGTCTGTCTCATTTTTGATCCCACGGTTGCATTTTGTGTTTTCCTCTGGGCGCCACGGTTGACTTAAGTCGACGATGTGCCGTACTGTTTATAGTAAGTTTTTTTTATTTATATACTGCCTTTTCACTGCAGATCTGAGTCTCAAAGCGGTTTACAATTGTTAATTTTGGGCATTTGTCTCTCACTCCACACAGAGATGGGAGCGGGGCCAGTACAGGAAGCGCATGTCAGAACTATTGGACATATTTTTAGTGGTAGGGAAAACCGGAGTACCCGGAGGAAACCTACGCAGACACGGGGAGAACATGCAAACTCCACTCAGAAAGGCCCTGGTCCGACCGGGATTCGAACCCAGGACCTTCTTGCTGAGAGGCGAGAGTGCTATCCAGTGGATGTCTGTCTGTATTCAAACTCCCTGCCACACAAACATTAGCACGGTTTTATTATATTTTCCCGATCATAGAGATGGCACATTGTGAGTTATTGTGTTTGTGTTCATGAAATTTGTAAGTTAAAAAAAAAATAATAATAATAATAAAAAATAAGGAAAATCCACAATTGGCACCACCATATGACGTCATAATATGCTAATTAGATGGGTAATTCCTACACAAACTTTGGGCCATCCTTATCATTTCTCTAATGGACATAAAGCCTCTATCTCTAATCACTTTGAAGTTGTTTAGAGATGAAGGTGTTAGAGAAAGACACGGGGATATTAACACGTGCAGCACATGGGGCTGTAGCAAAGGCAGCTTCTATAACAATATATTTATTTCAAGCATAGATTTTTTGGAACAAAAATATATTTCACGACAATAAAATAAAAATATGGTTCACAAAGAATATTTATAGGAACCAAGCTAAGTGCTGGTGTTTGATTTAAAATTGTGGAGGAGCACTTTGTAAATACCACAGAGGAATGGCTAAATACTATGGGGAAAAGACTATGGGGAAAATACTATGGGGAAAAGACTATGGGGAAAATACTATGGGGAAAAGACTATGGGGAAAATACTATGGGGAAAAGACTATGGGGAAAATACTATGGGGAAAAGACTATGGGGAAAATACTATGGGTAAAAGACTATGGGGAAAATACTATGGGGAAAATACTATAGGGAAAATACTATGGGGAAAAGACTATCAATCAATCAAATTTTATTTATAGAGCCCTTTACAACACTCAAGGCGACCAAAGTGCTTTACAATAAAATCACATAAAATGCATTAAAAACATTCGTTCAAACAAAAATAAAAATAGTACTGAATGTTAAAAGCCAGTCTGAATAAATGTGTCTTGTGCCTGGATTTAAAAAGGCCAAGATCAGTGATGGTGCGCATTTCAGGGGGCAGCTTATTCCAGAGTCTGGGTCCAGCGACTGAAAAGGACCGATCACCCCAACGCTTGGACTTGGTCCTAGGCACTTCCAGCAAGAGCTGATTTGACGACCTCAAGGACCTGCCCGAGTCACGAATAGTCAAAAGTTCAGACAGGTATGAAGGGGCAGGACCATTGAGGGCTTTAAAAACAAAAACAAGAATTTTAAAATCAACTCTAAAAGAAACTGGAAGCCAATGTAAAGAAAAAAGGACTGGGGTGATGTGCTGACGTCTGGGAGTGTTTGTTAAAAAACGAGCTGCAGCATTTTGCACCAATTGAAGACGATTAAGACAGGACTGGGACACTCCACAATAAAGGGCATTACAATAGTCAATTCTTGAACTGATAAAAGCGTGGATGGTTTGCTCCAGGTCTGAGCGGTTTAAAAAAGGCTTTACTTTAGTTAAAACACGCAGCTGATAAAAACTTGACCTGACCACGCTGTCAATTTGTTTGTCAAAACAAAACGAATTATCAAAGACAACCCCGAGGTTTCTAACCACTGGTTTGAAATTAGAAGACAACAAACCAAAGTCTGAAAAATTTGAGTCATCAAACAAAATGAAATCTGTTTTGTTCTCGTTTAAATGGAGGAAATTCTGCTGTAACCACAGTTTTATGTCAGATATGCAGTCCATTAGACATTTGACAGCATCACTCCTATTTGATGAAACAGGCAGATAGATTTGCAGATCATCTGCATAGCAATGAAATGCCAAGTTATGTTGGGCAATAATTGACCCCAACATATAAAGAGAAAACAACATGGGGCCCAAAATAGAACCCTGGGGCACTCCGCACGACAAGGAGGCAACAGTGGAGGACAGATCACCAATCATAACAGAAAATGTTCTATCACTGAGATATGATTGGAACCACCTAAGTGCAGCACCACAAATGCCAACATGATGCTCCAGGCGAGACAAAAGAACAGAATGATCAACAGTATCAAATGCTGCTGTTAGATCAAGAAGCACTAAAACAACAGGGCATTTAGCATCAACAGACAGGGTCACATCATTGTGTACTCTCAACAGCGCAGACTCTGTGCTATGTCTTGTTCTGAACCCAGATTGAAAATTTTCAAGAATTGAATTGCATTCTAAAAATATGTGTAGCTGCATAAAAACAACTTTCTCAAGGATTTTTGAAATAAAAGACAAATTCGACACAGGTCTAAAATTAGACAAAACAGAAGAGTCAAGCTGTGGTTTTTTAAGCAGGGGTCTGACTACAGCATGTTTGAAGACATCAGGGACTTTCCCTGAACAGAGAGAAATGTTAATTAGAACCAAGAGGGAAGGCCCTATAGAAACAAACACTTCTTTCAACAATTTTGTGGGGAGAATGTCCAAGGGGCAGTTCGTGGTTCTCATACATTTGACGATGTCAGTGAGGGACGAGAGAGAGACCGGTACAAAATGGTCAAACACTGCCGAGTGTGAGACAGCAACAGACTGGTCCGGGCTGCTGCTGCAGAGTGCTCTCACAGATGCCACTCTTTGTCAACAAAAAACTGTAAAAAAGTCTCACAAGTAGAAACTGTGGCATCTGCCAAAGAAGAGGTATAAGGGTTCACAACAGCGTTAATTGTATTAAACAACACACGAGGGCAGTGTGCTTTTGTCGAAATAATGTTCGACAGAAATTGTGATTTGGCCTCTTTCACAGCCCTCTGATACTGAGCAAGGCTGTCCTTCAGAATCTCCCGAGATACATGCAAACGGTCCTTCTTCCACCGTCGTTCCGCCCATCTACAGCGCTGTCTGAGGGCCCGGGTCGAATCATTAAGCCAAGGGTCAGCCCTTGGTTTTGAAGACCTGCGCCTAAAAGGAGCAATTTTGTCCAAAATCCCTGAACAAGTTAAGTAAAAGGATGACAAAAGGCTATCTGGGAATTCTGGAATAATATCTCCACCACAGGCAGAAAGCTCTGAATCTGCAAAAGCAGCAGTAAACTCCCCAGCTGTTGAAGAATTAATAATCCGACGGCGAGAGGCTGAGACAGGTGGCTTACTGGCCGGTAGAGGAGCAGGAACTTCGAATATGATGGGCAAATGATCTGAAATGGGGGTGTCTGATATTTCTATAAGAGACACAGAGAGTCCATGAGAAATAATCAAGTCCAATGTATGTCCAGCGTTGTGAGTTGGTCCATCCACAGACTGATTTAAGTCAAAAGACGAGAGAAGACGTTTAAAATCACTGGCCAACTGGTCAGACGGGCAACATACATGGATGTTAAAATCCCCACAAATAAGAATATTTTCATATTTTGGGACCACCTCAGCTAAGAACTCAGAAAACTCCTGGATCAAATCCTTGTTGTATTTAGGTGGACGGTAGACAACAGCACACAAAATAGGGCAAGAGAGTTCTAATGTAAACAGCTGTACTTCAAAACAGGAATAATTATTTACGTGTAAAGGCTTGCATGTAAATGTATCCTTGAAGACTGTGGCGACTCCACCTCCTCGACCTGACGCTCGCGGTGAGCTGAGGAAAGAGCAGTGAGGGGGGAGGAGCTCAATGAAGGCGCTGTCGTCACCTGGTTTAATCCACGTTTCCGTCAACAATAGAAAATCCAGTTCACGTGTTAGGAAGAAGTCATTCAGAATAAAAGTTTTGTTTGTGAGAGACCTCACATTAAGGAGCGCAATGCGTATCGCTACGTGCACATTCCCTGAGTCCAAAGTAACAGGACGGAGGTTTTCCTGCACAGAGCCTCGTTTACAGACGCGAACACGATACGGGCGGCTAGAGTGTTCGTATCCAGTGCCTGGGACAGAGCGGAGGCAGCTGAGCTCCGAGGAGCCCCGCACGATGAAGCCACCATACCCCCGGGGAATCAGCGTGGGGTGGTCATGCGTCGAAGACTGCGCCAGTCTAACAAGTACACCACTTCGCTTTCCCCGCTTTCTGTGGCGACGTTTGCGAGGAAGGGAGACAGGTAGACGCAGCAGGTAGTGTGGCACAGACTCCAGGAATGGTGGGAGCGTCTTCGATTGTCCACTGCAGCCAGAAATTGTAGATTTTGTCACTGAATTGCGGATATTCAAACTGAAAACTGAAATGAACAACAATAGCAGCAGAAATCTCTGCAGAGATAGACGACATGCCACGCACAGCGGCGCCATCTTAATATACTATAGGGAAAATACTATGGGGAAAAGACTATGGGGAAAATACTATGGGGAAAAGACTATGGGGAAAATACTATGGGGAAAATACCATAGGGAAAATACTATAGGGGAAAATACTATGGGGAAAATACTATGGGGAAAATACCATAGGGAAAATACTATGGGGAAAATACTATGGGGAAAATACCATAGGGAAAATACTATGGGGAAAATACTATGGGGAAAAGACTAAGGGGAAAATACTATGGGGAAAATACTATGGGGAAAATACTATGGGGAAAATACTATAGGGGAAAATACTATCGGGAAAATACCATAGGGAAAATACTATGGGGAAAATACTATGGGGAAAATACCATAGGGAAAATACTATGGGGAATGATAGAACAAGAGGAACAATCTCAGAGTAGAATCGTAAATGATCGCAGCTCTCAAGATCTTGTCCTTTCGGTCATTAACCAAAGCTCACGACAGATACAGCTCTGACTGTAGACGCTGCTCCCTCTCCACCACAACAGTCCGATAGAACTCTGACTGCAGACGCTGCTCCCTCTCCTGTGTCCTGAGTCTGTGGCGGCCATATTGCAACACGCTTTGAGCAGAAATCCTGCTAAAGTCCAGCACACGGCTCCAGCGACAGGGCTTTACTCACATCTGCGGAAGATTGAGTCTGAGAGCGCCGCAGCTGACCGTTCTGTCGCCGCCTGGAGCCGAGTCCACATAAACCCGGGATTTCATTTACTCAAGAAGAGAAATGGACTTTTGTATTTTTGGATTTAGACAAGACTTATACGATGGGATGAATCGGCAGCACATCCCTCCGACCTCTTCAGAACTCACTGTGAAAGCTAACAAGGCCCGATCTCGTCATTGCACCAGGAAGTTAAAGGGGCTGTGTGTAATATTTTAATTTTCTGAAATATTTTAAGACCTCTACATCTTTTTTATGTGTCCCCAGATAACAACCACAAATCATATTCTTGTTCTTTGTCGGTTCTACAACGGGTGTTTTCCAGCATCCAATCAGAGAGCAGAATGAGTTTTTAAAAACAAAATTCAAACAAACAAAAATATTGCTTCACATGTGTTTGAATAAAAGCAGTGGTCACGTTGCGCCACCTGCCTGTGAAATCCAGAGCTCTGTGGCTAAGCAGGGCAGGGCCTGGTTAGTGTTGGATGGGAGACCTCTGGGAACAACAGGTGCCACAGTGGGGCGGCTGCGGCTGTGTCCTTAGGCAAGACACTTCACCCACGTTGCCTAGCACATGTCTGGTGTGTGTGTGTGCGCATGTGTGTGTGTGTGTGTGTGTGTGTGTGTGTGTGTGTGTGTGTGTGTGAATGGAACAGACTGGTTGCCTCGCTTCTGTCAGTGTGCCCCAGGGCAGCCATGGCTACAGTGGTAGTTTAGCACCACTGTGTATAAAGTGAATGAATAATACTGTGAAATGTTGTTTAGTGACCAAAAAGTGCTGCATAAAACCGATCCGTTAGAATCAGATTCAGTTTATTTGCAATTTGCAGTAAAAAAAAAAACACATCGGAAAACATTGGCAAAAAGTCCCCAGTGTGCACAGACAAATACAGACATAACACAACATTAAAAGATTTCCATTATTATATGAAATACACAGATTAAAGTTTGTGGTTAAACCCCAGCAGGTGGGTTGTATCTACTCTTATAAAACCCAGTGAGAAATCTACAGACAGTCTCTTTAAACGACTGAAACCTGTGTGATTCTTGTGGAGCCGCAGACATTCGTCCAAAAGGAGTCAGTCTGAAGCCGTTTCAGTCGTTTCAGTTCCGTTCGCGCTCACTCCTGTCCACGGACCACAAATGAAAAACTGCCTTAATGCCGTGATCTTTATTAAATCTCTCTCTGCAATAAAACAGATTCTATTTGAATGGATTTGACAAAGACCTGCACTTCCTGTCGTCTGTGATCGCTGCAAAACTCTGGAAATCTTATGCTCACAGTATTTCCAGTCAAACTATAATTTGGGCGTGGAGTAAACTTGAAATGGTAATAATAAAAATAATAAACAAAATCTGAATCTAATAACAATAATAATCACCAGGCCTTGCAAGACATGTTAGTGCCTTGTGAACCAACTCGGACTCTGAGGAGCACAGGGACTGGACTCCTGCTGGGACTCTGAGGAGCACAGGGACTGGACTCCTGCTGGGACTCTGAGGAGCACAGGGACTGGCCTCCTGCTGGGACTCT